TCTCAGCAGTCCATAACTGCCATCTAATGGAATCATTCACACCCACACAAAAGATGCACATATACAAACAACCATGTGTGATACCAGTATTCACTAATACACACACTCATGCATGAGCAGACAGGAAAACACCCTAACCTGCATTACATAACGACCTACTTTCCCACTGCGTGCAGAATACTCTGACCTAAATTATACTGCAGTAAGAAGAGTTTCTTTGAAGGTGTGCTCTTTTTTTTGGGGTGCATTGCCTCTACTTTTAAAAGCCACATAGAGGAGACTCTGCACTGCTAATGCTAGATGCTAAATTCAGTGCTTTAGGGTGCTGCTGAACTTTTACATCGCTTAGTCAGAAGGTGATGTCACACCGGTGATGTGGCAGTGACAGTTTTTTTCAGAGATTTGTTGACAAAAAACGAATAAATTTGACAGAAACATCTTAAGATACATTGGATTTAAATTGATGTGACTATTCCCTCTCTATCTTTCTAACTGGTGCCTTTCTTCTTTAAGTGAAGCATTAATCCTTAATTCCTTACCTCTACATCTCACTTGACCTCATGAACTATGCAGAACCATAATTATGTCTGTCGCTTTTTCAACCTTATTAAACATCCTGCAATTAAAAAAATATAAACGTCACCTGGGAAAAACATACCTTAAATAATAAGTTCAACCTGTGCCTCCAAAATCTCAGAAGCTGTGAAGTCATATAAATGTGAAAGTGCCTCATCTCTTAGCTGAAAAGGGCTTGTTAAGAAGATCCCAGTGGTCTACAAATTTCACAGTAAAAAAGCTGTGTAATGAATAAGAAATAGCTAAGTCAAGTAGTCTGGATCCTGTACTCATGATGAAAAGTCTGTCATCCCAAGAAGGCTGCCGGTTTCGTGGCCTTGATTAGGATGATGAAACACTTGGAAATGGTCAGCCATTCCACTGAGAAAACCCAGTTATTGCAACGGTACAGTCTATGGTCTACATATATAAACATTCATTTTTAAAAAGTGTGAATCAGTGGACACATTTGCAATGATTGCCTAAAGAAGCAATGAAATTTTCAGTTTACTCTGATGTCTGCATTTTTAACTGACAAAATGTGGTGCTATTGCATGTTGTGTGTAAGTGAATAAAAGTATATTACTTTCACACGTTTCATCCTGCCCATGGAAAACTGTGAATGGAATATTATGAATTGGTCAGTTGTAAATGCTCTAATTTCTTACAATAACTGTGTCTAGAGGTTTTTGATATTTACAGAACCAAGGAATAAAAATGGAATAAAATGAAAAAGATTAAAAAGATTTAGGGGTCTGTTTTCTCCACTAATGCGTTCAACGTACAACAGCGCCACCAGAGATTGAATGTGTTGCAAATAAAAGTGGCTGTCCTTGTCATTTCATCTAATTTTTTCAAACCAGCATTATGAGTAATTACTCATTGTTCAATATGAATTAGAAATTCAACCTATGTAGTGTTAGTTTAGTTAGAAGTTATTTGTGTATTACTATTTTTTCGGTAAGTACTTTAAAAAAGATTTTGTCGTTATTCAATAAAATTATGTCTTGCCACTTTATCAGGAAGCACCTGAAAAAACATTCAGGAACTCTATCCCTGTGGATATATATAACTACAGAACGACGAGGTAATAGAACTCCTACTCCCAAAGCTAAGGTTAGCTTTTCATGTTCGTGTCCACGTGTTAAAGGCTACATAAAGTGCTGCAAAGCCTCAGTTATAAAATTAACAGTGTGTAGATCTACACCGGGCTGAGATGTGCTCTAACAGGCTGGTGATAGCTTTTGAAATACATACCAGTGGTGCTCTGAAACTTTATGTTAGCATTCAGGCTCTCTCCATCACAGGAATCCTTTTTTCACCTATATACTGAAGTAATTTGAGAATTTTATGACTGCAGAAGGAGCTTGATTTAATATGTTTAGAAATCAGACAAAAATGGCTTAGTTTTTATCGAAATGATTTTCAGAGAGAACCCTTTTAGATGCAGTAATAAATTAATTATTGCTTAATTTGACTTCTTCTTGAGTGTAGTGGAAGAGCTGTAATGAACCAATGTGTAAATGGAACTACTTTCGCTTAGTTAAGTGTACGGTTTCTTAACGGGCTTTGATAGCGGAAATCAGAGTGGTGGTGAAGATGTCTTTTGTGGTGCTTGTTCCCAGGGAATTAGCCTTTTATTTGAAACCACTGTTAAGGAGGGCACACCAAAGTCAGTATAATATATCATAATTATAGTTCTCCCAACTTCAGTCTTTAATCTATGGTCCTGGATGAGAAGCTCTAGCAGCGGTGTGCTGACATACCACCACTAATGGGCTTTTGCCCTGTGCTGTGTCGTAGAGTATGCACCCACACTTCACCCAAGGAAGTATTTACTCTGCGGATTTAAACTCATCTTCTCTCTGTCTCTGCAAATTGGACATTGATGAAGAGCAGGAAAATTATGTGTGGTGAATTTAAGTGTGCATGTACAAGTCAAGGTTAGAAAGAGAGTTAATCTCTTTTAACTAAGTCCTGACAGAGTGGGCCGAGCGTGTGGCTGTTTGAAATATGCTGATAGATCTGCTGGACTACTGAGCCTCAGCTTTCACATCCTTTAAGTAAACACCATGCCATCCGTCATAATAATGTGAAGCCACAAATAACCAGTTTCTTTTCAATCATAAATGAGCCCATTACCTGAGTTAGAAATAATTTTATCGGCTGTTTTCCACTGACAGTTAGCAGCATATTGTATGATAAAAACCTCACTGCTTTGAAGGCTCACTGGCTTTGATGATAGTCAGTTCTGTAGGGTATAAGCCAACAGGAAATGCTTTTTATTCTTACATTTTACTGCCTCCTAGTGGTACATTCTGCTATTGTGGATTTACCCCTTGTATTTACTTGCTGAGAGAGGCTTACAGCACCTGACATGGACTAGGGTGCATGTGCCTACTGAGTGCATAACACTGGCAGGATACCTGCTACTCAGGGGAGGGAAACACATTTGTGGTAAATTAAACCTTCCTGCAGATTTGACATTTCTCATTGTATGTTACATTATTGAATAGAAGAGCAAGTTACGCGTCAGTTAAAAACTGTAATAGGTGTTAATTTTGACACGGCCGTGCTCCTTTTGCATGAATGCACCATGATCCAGTAGCATGAACACTAGCTGAGCATCTGTGAAGCATCATATAATCTGAATGCTGGCTGAGTTGACAGTCGGTATTATCCCAGATGAACCATTCCAGACTGCTGATTGATAAAAGGAACACGTGACAGAGGTCGTGCTCTAGCTTGCAAAGCCTCAATGAAGTAAGAGCTAGCACACAGCATTAAAACCTTTTTGAATGAGTATCTGGTGAGCTGACACATGTGAGTGTGTAGTAGTTGTGTGCAAGTGGGTTTGCCATTGGTTAAATGCCAGGAGATTTTCTCATAGACAAACACATGGGTACAGGAGTAAAATTTCATTGAGCTTTTTTTTTTAAACATTCTGATAAGCATTTATACTTATTACTATGTTAGTTAGCAAATTGTGTAAGAAGATTTTAAGGTACAACATACTCAATGAAGATATTTAATTGTTTTGTCACTCTATTTCCATCTAATTTGTGTGCCTTTAACCTGACACTAACCTATCTACTTTACCATGTTTTTCCCTGAATACTACATGAGCTTATACATGTACAAAGAAAAACATATGATGACATCCTAGATACAAGGTATACAGACGTTCTTTTTTATCTACCAATTTCTTTTTTTTTTATATTCTGGAGAGGATATCTAATCTGGTAGAGATTTTCCTGTGTTGGACAGACGCAATCATTTGAAATACTCCGGTAAAAACAGGACACTGTAAGGATTATTGTTTTTTTATTTTTACTTTGCATGATTTTCATCTCTGCTAATCCCATGCAGGGTGCAGACCCTTTTGGAAATTAGGTTCAACACAGCTGTGTGCTGATGTAGACACAGCTTGACAAGGGTTAACCGTAATGCACTGACAGGCAGGCCCAGGAGAAAGGTAAATCTGTTTGTGGTGTGGGGATTAAAGGCACTGTAACACAAACTGGAAAAAAAAGCTCATATTAGAGCTGGCATTTCTCTCACGTAGACATTATCTGACAGGACCGAAATGGAAAACGACAGATATTGCAATTTTTTAGAGCCTGTCTGTATGCAACAGTTGCATGATTTTTAACAGTATAAACCAGGTGTTTAATTTACAAGGAACCCTTAATATTGAAATGCTTCATCAGGCTATTTTTTCTTTAAAAAAAGAAAGTTTTTCCTTTTTCAGTTTAACTGAGTTTTCATTAACCTTTGGAATATAAACCCTAAAACATCTTGGATTATACCACTTCGATCTGGATTGGAGAAGAATCGCTTTAAAAGGATCTGGTTTGAAAAAGATGATTCCTCAAAAGCTGCTCATGTACAGTCGTACACACTGCGATGTTAATTTAGAAAACGTCCATGAGACATGGAGGCGAAAGAAGTCCTGTGGTGATCTTTTTCAAAATGGATACAGGGTGAGGCAGGTCCATCATGGACAGGGCGATAAGGGAAGCCAAACTGGTTTTTGCTACTCATTTAGGTATTGCTTGGACGTCTTCTGTACCTGGGGTAAGAGCTCTCTGTGTACAGATTTTCTAAAGGTTTAAATTTCTTTCTGTTTTTTTTAACCTGGAAACAGGTCGGTACAGACTCTTTTAGGACACACTCTGAGGTTTACAGGTTGTAATGAAATTTGCTGATCACATCCGTAGACACACACGTTTTATGGGATCAGACATGTTATGTAAAACGACAGTGAGGCGAACGTCGCAGTATTCTGTAATCCCTCTTACATTCAAACAGGGGGATCATTCTAAAGATTTGTTCATACTAAATTATTAAGTGAATAATTATTTTTCCAAATGAAAATATTGTGAGTGTTTGTGTCATCCGCGTTTGTGTATTTAATTTACATTGCCCTATGCTGCGTTGTATCAAAAGGCCCAAGGAAGACATGGTCTTCATTGCATTGCTGATCTGGTGTTGTGTTGTTCACTTTTAATTGTCCTCTTTTTACTTTACCTGTTAACATGTGTCCTTTTTGCATCTGTTTTTTCTCTCCTTTTTCTCATAGGTCTGAGATTTCTGAGAGCACTAAGACTGATTCAGTTCTCAGAAATTTTACAATTCTTAAACATTTTGAAAACAAGGTAAGAATAAAACCGGCCCTCTGACTGTGTGTATTAACCATAAACACAAATATCTGTAACAGCTTAGTCCATTTTAAAACCACTCAAGTAGCTGCGTTACAAGAATACTAGTGGTATAACATTTTACCACCAGTAACAATTTTTATGTTAAACCTCATGCTGAATTTGATTTTAGGACAAATCCCATTTCTATCTTAAATATAACACAGTAATATGCATTCTGTATATCAATAGCCCTTAATGTTCCGTTTTTGGCGACTGCACATTGCTTTCATGTATTTACATGTTACTGTTTTTCATCAGTGTGGTCTGATTTTTCTTCTTCTTACCAGCAATTCAATAAAGCTGGTAAACTTGTGCTCCATCTTCATAAGCACATGGCTCACGGCTGCTGGATTCATCCATTTGGTAAGTGCGGCTAGATGTGGGTCAGTGGGGGTTCAGCCATTACGTTTAAAATCACTACACTAAAAAACAATTGAACTTAAAAAGAAATAACTTAACACATTGCAGGAACAATGAAATAAACTGAAACTATCTATCAACCCCAATTTTACTTAGTGGGTAGCTGTCACAATATTATCCAAATCCAATTTAAGTATTATTCTTTTCATTATGGATAATGCTGATAGTACCCCTAGTATACAGTCATGAAAACAGTTTGAATTTTGACAATCTGTTGAAGTGTAAATAATCCCCAGGTTCATGGGACTGCTTTGATTCGGTTGTACTCCTAGATCATTTAATTGCATTTAAAAGTATTCAGATGGGTTTTACGGTTCAATCTAATGTTTGGATTCCAGCCAACTGAACTTGTTTTAGTATGCCTTTTTGTTTTGATTGATCCAAGTGTGGAAAACAATCAGTTATCTTGACTTACAGTGTGAAAAACTAAATGAACAGTGCTCCTATTTTTTCTGCATAGTTAAAACTACGACAGCTCGATTCATGACGTGAACACATCACATGGTTTGATTATAGGTTGCAGCTATTCTTCATAATCAATGGATTCAGATCATCTTTTTTAAATGGGACATTTCATAAATAATTTGATAGTTGACATAGTGTTCTTGAAAATAAAAATGCAGGTTGAATGAAAAAAAGGAAAGATAAAGGATTTTCTGTAAGGAAAGTTAAAACAGTTCCCCGGTCAAAATTGGGCAAAATGAAATTGAACTTCCCTGTTCAAGACGAAGCCGTGTCTCGTCTCTACTCTTATTTTCTATTGGTCATGTTCAAGTTTCAGTTTCACCACTAGGTGGTAGCCTAACCTCAAACAACTTAAAAAGACTGTAGGACACAAACAGATGCGTACTTGTAGTTGTATTTAATCCAATTTTGGGGAATGGTTTCTTTTTGTACAGCTTGATTTACACAGCGGTGGTGAGCGTCATGTCCAACAATCTGTCCCATACTGCTTCACTTTCTAATGTAGGTCGAAAACTCAGGAGATCCTTGGGAAAACTTCCAAAATTCCCAATCGCTATCCTATTGGGAATGTGTCTACTTGCTGATGGTGACCATGTCCACAGTGGGTTATGGGGATGTCTATGCAAAAACCACCTTGGGACGCCTGTTCATGGTCTTCTTCATCCTCGGTGGTTTGGTAAAACCGACTTTTCTTTCTCCCTTACCCACTTCTCCTCTATTGAGTCCAAGCATTCCCTACCAACAGACTGTTCGGAACTTTAATTATTTGATTAAAATGTAACATAATCATTGTAAATGGTTATTAGTATGTATGTATATATATATGTATGATATATATTGTATATACTGTATATATTAGAAAAGTGTTTTTTAAATTGTGAGCGCTATCTTGTTTTTATCAGTAGATATTATTTCTGTGTCACAGTGTAGTTGTATCCTTGTGTTTAGCCTACTGTATCTTGTCTACTGTAGTTGCAGGTCTTTGTGTCCTTTGTCCCATCCCCTTATGTGTCATTCCTGTATTTGTTGGATTAGAGAATAAGCCTTTGTCTGATAATGTTGTCATTGTTCTCTTAATAGCAGTTGCGGTTTCAGGACACCCTTCCTTCCGTGTCTCCTCCCACAATTCCAACAAACACAGGGGGCAGGGAGATGAGGCTTAGGCCAGCCTGACTGTTACCATAGCAACAGCAGCCTCCCACTCCCTCCCTTCTTCTGATCTTGCGTCCTGTTGGGCTGCCACAAGCACAATAAATTGCACACAAGCATGCATTAGTGCACGCACCTGTGAGCAATACGGACATATGCACGCACAAATACACATGGCCACGTCTCCTTCACTTTAGTAAGAATAGAGAATTACAATTTGTGTGGAGTCTTATGGGTGCTAATGGCACAGCTTGCATATAGCGACAATGGTAAGATTGTCTGTTTTTCTCAAACATGACTGCACTTTATGCCAGGACCTCCTTTTTGTCTTCAGTAATGGCTAAATAATCCAATTTTGAGCTATTTTAAAGACAGAGATTAAATCCGAACGTTCAGGTCATGGCACCTTTTTGTTTTAATTATAGATGGAATGCTGAGTAAAAAAGACAAGCAAGTTTATTTGTATGGCACATTTTGTTTAAAAGACAATTCAAAGTGCTTTGCAAAGAGTATTTAAATCAGAAAATAAAGATAAAGAAAATTAATAGAAATAAAAGTAGAAAGTAAATAAAAAACTAAATAAATGCAACACATAAACAATTGATTAAGTAGATTAAAAGTGAAGAGTGCAGATAAAGTACAATCAGTTGTCATATGCAAAATTAAAAAGAACCGTTTTTAGTCTGTATCTAAACATTTTCAGAGTTGAGGCCTGTCTCACCTCTTCAGGGAGACTGTTCCAGATTTTAGGAGCATACAACTGAAATGAAGCCTGTAATGAAAAATAGTTTTCTTTTAATAGTGTTTGATATTGAATAAAATAACAGGCTGTGAAACTTTGCAAAATGCATCCAGCTCATTTTCTAGCCCAACAAATGAGTCTTAATGTGTTTTGCAGCTGTGGACCATCAGGGGGGCCTATTCAAATCGACCTGCCACATCCTCTGTGTTTGTTGGACTAAACATGGCACATAGGTTTTTACTCTCCCATAGTTTTTAAAATTCCGCCAACCAGAAAAGGTTTTGGGTGCTATCACAGTCTGATCATTCATCAGCTGTGACAAAATTCATGTCCACTAACCAAACCTGTTCCCAAGGCTTTACCTTTAAACACTGGGGCTACTTTTTGAAACAGAAAATATACTAAATAGATTTGGTACATAAAGACCTCTCTCATGTTCATCAAGTTAGCAAGTCTCTGCAGACTTTGAGAGAGATGCTTTAAACTTTTACCACAAACTGAGAATTTCTTCAGCTCAGGAATTTGGATACTTGCACCAGTTTCCCCACAACCCACTCTGTGGCACAGTAGTCTCTTTTTTAGTCTCTTCTTCTGTCTCCTATCTTCTCCTTAGGCCATGTTTGCCAGCTACGTCCCTGAAATCATAGAGTTAATAGGAAACCGCAAGAAATATGGTGGTTCCTATAGTGCGGTTAATGGGAGAAAGTAAGTATTCCAGATGGTTCTGCTGTTTTTCTGTGTGCGGTAGAACCCTCTCTGCATGCCTTTTTCTTTTTTCTGTTTCATGCATGTAGGCCATGTTTGCTCGCTACGTGCCAGAAATTGCTGCTCTCATCCTTAATCGGAAGAAATACGGAGGGAGTTATAACTCGACACGAGGCAGAAAGTAAGTTGAAATCCAGACAAGGTGTGGTTGTGTGACTCAAGCCCACCCCCCATTTAATTTTATAGGCTCAGGGGGTTTAGTTTACTTAACTTTTTAGAAATGTAAAGTTAAGTGTAGTTTAAGGAATCTTTTAAGTCACACGGCGTGACTGGAGACCTTGGCCATTAGGACACACTTGTCCATACCCGTCACTGCCTCTTTCTTTCTTTCTTTCTTTCTTTCTTTCTTTCTTTCTTTCTTTCT